TAACATCAGGGTTAAAAGAATAAAATTTGGGGATTAGTCACTGATGAACTAAATAGCATAGGTTCGCCGTACAAGGATTTTAACCGACTAGTTAGTTAAGTCTTGATCTAATAGGGTTAATATACAAACCCCCCCGTTCGAATTGACCTAACCGTTCTTAAGAGAAAAAAAAACAATTCTGAAAGTTTGGTGTCACGTTTTGTATAGTTTGTATCTAAATCACCTCAAAAAAATCTTACGTTTAGCAAGAATACACATATATGCAAATGTATATTTTTTCCAGCCGCAGACGGCCCGGCCCTTTCAAGTAATTACAAACTCCATATTTATATAATTCACTATAAGATGTAGGATATAAAAATTATCAAAATCATAAAATATTTTTCGTGTTAATTTCTTATACTTATGCCTATTGAAAAGAAAAACTGTTTACGTTTAGTAAACACAATTAATTGGGATTGGGCTTATCCCTCTTATATTTTTGAGTATAAATAATTTTGTATATTTAATACAAGTTGAATTTTATTACATAAAAACAAAAATCTTCAGTACTTCAGTTTAACTTCAGTTAGCAATTTTTTTATAAAATTTTTTTACAGACTATTCAAACTTTAATTTCCAACATTATATGAACTTTATAAAATAAAATTTGCTCGCACATTGTTATTTTTATTCTTAAGGAAATAAAAATTTATTAAATTCTTAATTTAACCAATGGGATAATAAAATGAGCCAATTGAAGTTTTATTTATTACCAAACTAAGTTTATCTTAATTGATGATGACTTACAGCTATTGATTGATTACTTTAAATAAAAGAATAATTTATAGGATGACACTCGATATAAAAAGCATGCCTACAAGTATACAAAACTCTTTTTGTATAATAAAGAACAGAAATGTCATCTTTTATTATTTTTGATTAACTTATAATTTTAAAAATTTTTAATTTGCACGAGTTACGAGTTTCAACCGTGTCACTTCAGTAATTAACTTGACAAAATGACATGAGCAATTAAAATTTAGCCGTTAAATGTGTAAGTTTAAAAACTAGATTGTGGCAGAGGTTTTGTTAAAATTTTAGTACATGAAAAGCTTGAAAATTTCTTTAAAATTATTGAAATTATAAGGTTTTGATGTCTTTGACAACTACAATGAACTTATTTATTTAGCGTTATTTTTTAACTTATAAAAATTTCGAAATGGGAATTTTTGGAAAATTTAACAAATCTGTGGTAAATGGGCATTCCAGCCTAAGATGGAATTTATAGTTGCCATTAAATCAAATGATTATGGAAAAAATTTGAAAACTCCAAAACCAAGAGTGTAGTCAACATTTGCAAGATCAACATTTTTATTTACCAAATTCATTTTCCTTCCCTTGGATCAAAAAGTTTGTTTATCAGTTTTTTTAGTTTGATCAGATGTTTGAAATCATACCATTTTTTTTGAATAAATAATTTAGCTAAATTTTATCTGGCCTGCTTTTCTCACTTTAAATCCAACATTTCAGAATTATATTTGAATTAAATCAAACAATTTAATAATATCTCGATCTGATGCTAAATGAATTTAGGCACTGTTTTCTTACTAGGACAGAAATGTTCTATACAATTTAACACTTATATAAGTATATGTAAGTTTTTTGTTTAATTTACATAAGCAAAAAACTTACCTTTTGCTTGTATAGAATTTCAAATTTCCGTTTCAAAATAAATTATTTAGTTCATTTGAAATTATTTTATTATTTCTATATATTTTACATAGCTGATTGGTTTTTTGAACCAACATTGAGTTATGGAATATATAAAGCCTTATTACACTCTTTGAACCCTATGCTTTCTTCAGAAACAAACATAAAGAACAAAACGTTGCAGAATACAATTAAGTAATACAATTAAAACTTATTAGTATTTTCATTATACACAAAATTACACCTAAAATAATTAGGCAAAATGTGCTAAAATTTCAAAATAATTTACCCGTCATTCCTTGTTTTTTAGCACTTTTGAAAAAAACAAATTTGAAAAAAAAACTTTTGTTTAGTTTGTTTCTGTCCGTCCGTGGACATGTTTACAAAACTTCTACACCCTTGAAGATAGAAAGTTGAAATTTCATATATACATAAATCTTTACTAGAAACTCATTTCTGTAGAAGAAATTTTTATTTAAAAGTTATCTCACGCCCCCCCCCCCCCATTTAAAAAATGCCATTTCGCAACTATTTATTTTAACAACAAAATGGCCGTTAAAATTTACCGTTATCTAATATATGGTTTTCCTAAATTTTTGATGTCGTTTTTCATCTAGGCCTTGGTTTTGCGAAAGTCTGAAATTTTTAACAGCTTTTAAACTATAATAAATAGTTCATTTTGCCAAAATAAAGTTTTCTCCATCTCCATCCCCTGTCAAGTTACCGTCTCTCGAAATTTGTAAAATTTGAATTGTTGGCACCTTATATTTCCGAAACTGCAAGTTGAAAAAGTGCTAAATTACAACTTGGACAAGTGCTAAATTATACAAACCATTGGTTTGAGTCAACTTTATTTTTTTACTTTTTTCTTGTTTCATAACCTTTCTAAATTTACTCATTTTAATATTTAATTATTTTTATTTTGTAATCGTCTATCCATCATCTTAATTAAGTTTATCTATAGTCAGGTAATCAGTTAACGTCCAATTTTTCTTACATACACATATTTATTTAATTTAGAAAAAATTTAAAAATTCACACTGGAGAAAAAAAACGAGCAAAGTCTGCTGAATATATAAAAGGTAAATAAAATAAGAAACCAGATGGCGTGATTATTGTATTCATCCATTACTAAGGTATTGTTTAAAATTTAATTAGCACGAGCTACTTAAAGAGCTACTTTTTTTATTCAACACTTTTTATTTTTCTTTAACAATTTTTAAACTTTTTAGCTTAACTCAACTCAATCAAATCGACAATGCGGAAGAATTAAAATTTGTTAAAAATAATAAAAAAAAATTAAAAAATATCAGTTTTATTTTTGGATTGAAAAATCATTTTAATATCAGAAAATAAAAAGCAAAAATAAAAATTGTTTTATGGGGATTTTTAACGCTTTATTTTTTAATTTCTTCAAAAAAAAATTGCTAAAAATAATGAAACTCTTCAATTCTTTTGTTATTTTTTACATTTTGATTTTGTAGACGAAATTCAAAACTCTTTAACAAAGTATGCATTGAATTTTTTTTTTGTAATTTTTGATAATTGATCAATTATAGATTCAAAAAACATAACGAGTGTTTTAACAATTGTATTGTACACGTCATACATTAAAATTTTTAAAGTATTGTTTCCTTACAACTTTATTTAACAAGTTTTGTAACTTGTTATCGGCATCATTTGTTTATTGAGTAACACTTTTGTACTACTGTGAGAAAAAATTTTTGTCTTTCGATATTTCCTGAAAAGTGTTTTTCTGTGTTAATAGTAGTTTTGAGCTAATGATAATTATACGACCAGTTTGACTAGAATCAAGATGGAAGCTTAAATTCTATTATTTTTTTTTTTCAATTGCAGATGATCCTGCATTGTTGATTGGATAAAACTCTTCTAAAATTACTACAACTCTATAGAAACACATGTACGTATTTATATACATATGTAAGTAAAAATTTGCGATTTTACTAAATTTCCCACTAAATAAGTTTCAGTCAATACTTTACAGTTTATTAATTTATTTTCAACCATATAATAATGATAGCAATTATGTTACAGCAGCATGATACTCGTATTTGTTATTATTCTAAACTTGCATTTCGTCAATGAACACACATAAAAGTATAATGAATTTTTGATAGGCTTGATGAGTCAGTAAAAATATCAACGCTTGCATTCATATCTATGCATTTAAAATTATATCATCACTTAAAACTGTTAAAATTTCTTGTAACACTTGTCTTTTGAATGTATGTATGTTCAATAGGCCCACTCTCACAATACACCCTACAGATCACAAAAACCCTATTATATTTTGTATAACGTAACTATAAATTACAAAATTAAGGTGTTTCTTACATATTTACATAAAGTTCAAATATAACCATGAGTAATTCTTGAAATGAAAATTAATTTTCAAAAGATCACTCCAAAATTAACAAACAACAGACAATAATTTTTATTAAAATGAATCTGTCGTTAAGTAGATGTTCAACTTTGAAAAAATTGAACTTTCAATTTTCTTCTTCTTTAACAGAATTTAAAGAATTTTTTTTACCCTTTTAAAATCTTTTTGTAATGTGATGTACATTTTAGGTACATAATTTTTAGGTTATCAAATTTTCATTATAAAAGTTTTTGAGTTTCAAAACGATTCCCAATTAAAAAATTTCAAAGAAACAATAAAACAAAAAGAAATGAAAAATTCCGATGTTGTAAACTTATTACTTTACAAATTAAATAGAATATTATCGGTGTACGGCAAAAGATTTACTTCAAAAGATAAAAGAATGTCTTAAGTAAATATTAATTTTTGAAAAAAATGTTTCGCTTGGTTTATCATCTGATAAAGTTTTAGAATAATCTGTATAGAATGTTGGAACTTACATAATTACAAAAAAATGTACACAGTCATGTGAGAAAATTATTAAAAGGGTGTCGGGTAAAAAAAACACAAGGGAAATAACGTAAATAACATTTTGCGGACTAGCTTTCTTCTTCTTTTTACTTTTAAATCGACTTCATTTCTAAGGAATATAAATCTTAAATGTTGTTAAATTTATCGAGAAGAAATGCGATAGGAAGTAGAAAAATTAAAACTTATAAACGCCATTTTTTATATTTTGCGGAATTTTGCTAAAAGTGGTTTGTAATTGTTAAACTTCTTACAATTTTTCTAGTGTTATCATTAAATAAACTACCTAAATCAACTACATCTTATTAAAAACTGATTTTATGTAATTAAAATATTTAAAATATGTAGAGTAACACAAGATATTTAAATTTAATTGCTAAAAATCTTAAACACTTACCCTTATAAAACAAAATGGTAATCCTTCATTATTGTTGTTATTATTGACATTATTACTGCTACCATTATTACTGTTATTCTTACTGTTGTTCAAGTTACTACTGCTGTTATTGTTATTATTGTTATTGTTATTGATGCTATCGCTGACAGTTGAGTTAATTTTATCCATTTTAATAGAATATTTTTTAAATACAATAAAATGTTGCTAACGAAAAAAATTAATTGAAAAAAAAAATTTTTTTAATATTTTTTTTGTCATTAATTAAAACTCGTGATATTCGTGAAAGTTTCCCAACAAATTATACGGTATAAAAATAATAATTATTCACTTTTTTCACATTTTTCTTTTAAATAAACATCGCATATTTATTTATTTTAAAAAATTATTTTTCCTACTTTTTTTCTTTTTTTTTGTATGATTTTAATGCTTCACTTCTTCTTTTTAACATTTTTATCATAAATTTTCACTCTAATTTTTCTTTTATTTTTATTTTTCTTTATTTTTTTTTTTTATTTTAAACAAATGAAAATCTTATTTTATTGAAAATAATCAAAAATTCACTACGGTTTGTTATCTGAGTTTTTTTCTTTCAAATTTTTAATCGAATCGATTGCGTCTGAAAATAAAAAAATGTGAGGTTAAATTTGATTTTATGCATGTTCAAACAATGTAATATGCAAATTGTAAATGAACTACTTTTAATGTAGTGAACACATATTAGTTATAGTTTCTTGTTGTTGTGTTTATGTTTGTATGCATATAACACGCATAATATATATGATTTCACACAATAAAGAATGTGTGTGTTATGTACATTTACGTGCACATGTTAAAATTAGATCAACAATATAAAAGGAAATTCTAAGCTCATGAATGTTAACAAAAGAGATCGCAATGTGTAATTAAAACGTGAAAACTCATCATTTTTGTAGATAAGTATGGAACAAAACCAATATAATGAAATAAATTAGCTATATAATTACATACATATATTGCGTATGATACTACAATAGCTATGCCACGATACAGTTATGAATTGAAAAAATAAGTAGAAAAAAACTATTGTTAAATTTAAAATACATAAATGCAACGCAACATAAACCACTACAAATTCGAATGATGTGCGTATTTGAAGCTCTATTTTTGAAATCGCCGTTATGAAAATTAATGTACCTATTTTATGAAAAATACTTGAATGTGGTTTTTTATTTTAATTGAGGTGGAAATTATATTGCACACATTAAATCTGCATTATTATGTCAACAGAAAAAGGGTGAACGGAATAAGGCAAGCACAAGCAATTTCCAATATTTTATATAAAAATTTAAACTCGGTTTCTGTAACGAATATAATCGATTTCCAAAATTTTCGACAATCGGTTCCCGATTAACAAACTTAAATATACAAAATCAATTAATCAAATATAATGAAATTTTTTGGCTTTTTAGATTTTATTGGGGCCTTTAATATCTTGACATAGAAAGGGTTTTCGCGTGTTATATCTTCTGTACCATAAAATATTTTTCAACATTTAGTGACTAAAATTAAGGTTTGAGAAATTCTGTAAAAAAAAATTTCAAAGTTTCAAAACATTTCGAACGAAATTACTTGGTTACAAAAAAGTGATAAAATTAAAAAGGGGAAAAATTTGATTTTTCCTAAAGTTCGAATGATTGGTATTCCGAAAGTAAATAAAATGCATAATCAAGTAAGGTGTTTATTTTAAGCGCTTTACTAGACCTTTCAGAAACTGTTTGTTGCAGTTACTTCTGCCGAAAATTACATTGTTGAAAACTGTTCTGCTAAAAATTATATTTTAACTTTTTTAATTAAAATATCTTTTATTAAATTTAAAGATATCGATAAATATCTTTTTAGGTTATCTGAAATAGTTACGCAACCGAAGATTCGTTAAGAATCTGAGATAACTTGGAAATAAATATTAAAAGAATGCGTGGCTATGCGTGTTTGTTACGCATGAGATTCGTTTTTACATGGGAAATCTAGGGGTATAAATTTATTTTATATAGTGTCTACAAAGCCGGAAAATCTAAATTTACACAGTTCTTCTTATATTTTGGCACAGCGTACTAGAAAAAATTTTATTTTGCATTAGCAATGAATAGTTGTGGTTTATTTGTAATTGGATTTTACATTCGATTTCAAAAAAAAATATTGAAACTGCAATTGCAAGTATAAATATTAATGAAAAATTGTACGTAAGTACTGCTCTCATTTACTCTTTAATACAACCACAATGTGTAGTTGTTAAACGCTTGAAGTGTCATGCATTATAATACTTTCTTGCATTATATCACTAACTTAAAAATAACTTAAAATCTAATAAATTTGAGAGTCTTATTACAGAAAACTTCGTGAATGTTGTCAAATTTATCAATAATTTTTTTTTCATAATAAATTTTTATTTACAAAAAAAGTTCAATTTTACACTGTTTGTAACTGTGCAAATTTTAAATGAAGTTTAAATGACAGTTTGGTACAATCTGAAATCGATTTTTTGCACTATCAATGTTATTGAACATTACGGGTTTGTCAAAAAGAGGTAAAATAACGTAACTGCAAGATTGATAATAACAAAAGCGTGTTTTTCTTGAAGATGTTTTTTAATTATTAACCCCTTCAATATTAGGATAAAAATCTAAATAATCTACATAATCGGTTATGATTGACACTTCCATCACATTGACTAAATATACCAAAAAAAATTGGCAATTATACCGAACGTTTTGCAATCCAAAATTAGCTTATTATTTACTTATTATTGATTTTATATATTCTTAAATCGATTATGACAAATTTAACAGAAATAATTAAGACAATACGAAAAATTTAAAATATTTTAGTCCATTGGCTAGCAATCTATGGACCGTGAGCCAAATATTGAACACAACCCCATAGCTCTTTAGAAAATTATCTTTTTTTAAAACTGTAATTCCTTTTCCACCTATGTACATACAATTTAAATTGTAAGAACAAACGATAATGAAGTAAGAATATAACCAAATCTCAGACTATAGACATGACTCATTTGTTGAAGCCCAAATTTGATTGATCGCTCATCTATATGTGACATCTTGTAATTTAAGTTGCCTACAACTTCTTCCTGCTATATATGAATGATATACATACATAAGAATAAAATAAAAGAAATTATATGTGGCCAACATAAGGTTAAAGAAACAATTAAGTTGGTAAAAAACCAAAAACAAAGATGGCCTTACCATTAATAGAAAACACAATTTTTCTTCATTTTCCTTTTTAAACATTTGTTTATTTTTTTTTTTGTTGTTTTCAGTTGTTTCTTGCTTTCTTTTTAATTTTGTCTGATATTTTCTTTTTGGAAAAAAGAGTCATGTAAATTAATAAACATGGGCTTATATCTGCATATATGTATGTATGTAAGTATGTACATATGTGTTATATATGATTTATACATATGTAAGAAAAATTGCATGTGTTTGTAAGTACGTATGCATAAATTTGCACGAATAAAGGGTGTTTTTAATACAGGCACATAATTTTAAATAAAAATCAATAAAGGTTGATTATGTCAATAATGTTAAAACCTACTATTTTAATTTTACCCTAAAAAAAATTATTTGCCATTTTTTGTTTCAGAATAAATTTTCAGAACAAAAATGGTTTTCTCGACAAGTGTGAGTATTTGGAAGAGGTGCTGAAAAATATCAAGCAATGAGTTTGAAGATTGGATTCTTAAATGCGATTTAATATCGCTGGATTATTGTAAATGACAAAACTATGTTGTTGGCATAGAACTACGTTGTTTAAGCTGAAAAGTATTACACTATTTCAGAAAGTAATTGAAAATTTTACCTTCACATAAAACTTTCTCCGAACCTTAAGACGGTCATAATGAAAATAATTCTATTGAGATGAAAGTGGTAAAAAATCATGTTTCAAATAAAACATAATTCCTGTCAAATATATAGACTTCTTCATTTTACAACCTATTAGTTTTGTATTTCAATTAAAATTCCTACATCTATGTTTCTATAAATGAAACACCCTATGTTTTAGAAAATTTTCATCAATGCAACATTAAACTGCAATTATTATGAAAATCAATGAAGGTTAGGTTTGAATTTATAATCAGTTAGTTTACTTACTTAAATACTTACTTGGTTTTAATCATCAGGAACAGGGCTTCCTTATATAAGTAGTACCATCTGCGGTTATTATTTTATTGCAAGTAACTTTTCCGGATGGAAAATATGAAAAAATCATTTTTCTTAATTTTTTTTTGTTTCTTTTTTGTGTTGTTTTCCTTCTTGTTTTTTTTTTTTTGCTTAATATGGTTATGGACTTAATTGTTTATAGAAAAAAAATGCAACTTAGTTAAGTGGTATTTTTTTTCATTGAAAATAACTACCATATCTTGTACATAAGATGGTAATTAAATCGTTTTCTGGCTACTAGATGGTTCAAGTAACCAACCAATTTATGATTTCACTCCAAATAAGTTTTTAAGAAAAATTAATTTTCCTTTTTTTTTGTATTTCTCGATATTTCTAATTGATTTTTTTTTCGAAATCAAGTTTTTCTTTTTGCGAATTTGGAATGTATTGGAGGAAAAAATAGAGGAGTAGAAATTAATTGGTTGCACTTTATTCCGATTGACAACTGAGTGACTTCCTTTTTATTTTACTTGTTTTTTTCTCTACGTACTCTTCATATAAGCGACTACGATAATCTGCAATTACAGAAAGAAAAATAAAATAAATTTCAAGAGAAAATTAATATTTTATTTAAAAGCTTGTTTTTAAAAAATGTACCTATTTACACGCTTTATATATGTACATATGCTTGTGAAAGTATATTTAAAGAAATTTTTTCATTTAAAGCGAAATTTTCAATTTTTCAAAAGTTATTTAGGGAATCTTTTAAATTATTAAAGAAAAAATTTTAAAAAGTAATTGAAAAATTAAAGAAAAAAATTGTCTACAATTTGAAATAAAAGTCATGGAAAAATAAAATTTAAATTTGTTTTTTTAATAATGAGTAGAGCAAGTGATTACAATTTAGAAAAAATTAAATAAAATATGAATTACTTTAAAATTAATTGAATTTTTTAATTTACCAAATGCATCATAATTTAGTTTTTAACTCGATTTTATTATAAAAAAATGGACACAATTCAGAAACTAGTCTCCCAAATTTTAATTATTTTTGCATCACCTCTTAAACAAAGCCTAAATTTCATCAATGAACTGGATAATGTGAATTTTATTTAATTTGTGAAAACTGAAAGAATAATCTCTGATTTTAATCTGTTTTCTTTAAAAAATTTTAAATACTTATTTGTGGTTGAAATTCGAGTAAATCTAATAGGCATCACTCCACGTCAGTCAATAAATTTCTCTAACTTTTTTTCGAACACTAGCGGAAAGTAGGAAACTGGATTGTTTCTATTTGCATGTTTTAAACAGCGATTTTCTCAACTATATTTATATATACAGGGTGTCGTATACAGGGTGTATACAGGGTTCACTGCTATATACTATTGTATAGGCCCCCATGAGTAGACAAGACTTTTGTATGGAGACCAGCTCAACAGGTTCGGAGTTACAAGGGCTTAAAGTAAATTTCGACTGATTTTTTTATTTTTTGAAATAAGCAAAATATTTTAAATAGTCAAGCAGGTTGGTATGAGAAGTGATTCTTTTTATTTGGAAAAGGCATACTTTTAACTTTTCTGCAATAAAACTTGGGAAATTATTTAATAACTCTCTTTATACGAACATTTGTTTAACGATTTTCTTCAGTGCACATTAATACCCTGAAGGTGAAATTTAAGATGCCACTTTTTAAAATGCAACTCTGTATATTGATTTTTATTTTTTTTTTTTTTTGAAAAATTTGGATCCACAGTCAGAATCAAGAAAGTTCGAAATTCGAATAAATTCATTTGGTGTCAAAAGTTATTTCGACACATTCAGGAACAATTATGGCCTTTTTGAGACGCGCTAAGGACTATAAATAAAGTTTACTAATACGCTTGGACCTCCACTCCAAAATCTTCAAAAACTTAAGAGAATTTTTGGTTTTAAAATAAAATGAATATAGCAGTGCTAATAAAAATTTCAAAACACGCATACTTTTACATTTCTTAAATATTCTAACATTTTTTTTGGATTCTTAAATTATAAGACAGACTTAATCAATTTTCAAACTCATCATATTAGTTATTAACAATATCCACCAATAAAATGCACTTCAAATTATTAACATCAAATTTATTCGCCAAAGTTGTGTGATAATTTTGAATCATGTGCATTGAATTTTTTAACACCTTCAATCGCCCTTGGAAATTAATATTTAGGATTTTTCTGGATCCCTTTTTAATGTCATTTTAATTCTATTTGTAAGGGACAATTTTATAATCCAATTATTTCATAAGAGGTTTACCAAGTGTAATAAAGAATTTTAAGCAATTTTTGTTCTTCACAAGCTTCACTCTATTTTGAACAAACTTTATAAATTAACCACAAATATGGCATTAACATTTCTTTTAAATAAATTTCATTTTTTATTCTAATCTGTTTGTTAAAAACTTAAATTTCATTATTTAATCTAGTAAACTTGTGACCAAAAAATAATAAAAATGTCAAAATGGAATAATTTTATTACTTTACCTATTAAAAGTTTAAAATATTGCAAATCATAAAAAATTATTGGAAAATATTAAAAATTCACCAAAACCACATATCAAATAAAATCAAAGGTTTATAAGAAGCACATTTAATTTTAATAATTACTATTGGTATGCTGTTCACAATACAAAATGTTTAGCACAGACGAAAGGTTTATGGCAAAGCAAGACGATTAAATATTACATCAATCGGTTTGTGTAAGAGCATGTGCATATTGTAAGAGCTAATTATTGAAGCCATAAATGAAAATTTGCCTTTGAAATTCTTGAATGTTAAAATTAATTCAATTTATGTGGCTAATATCAACCTAATTAAGAAGTACGTATGTTTGTGCAAGTAAGTGAAAAGTATTTATTTGATTAAGTGACGAACAACGAATCTAAACCGTGGTACTCCAAGTGCCACAAAAAATTGTAAGAATGCATATTTTTCCTTTTTCGTTTCTTAAAAAGAACTATTTGAAAAAATAATTTTTTATGCTCTTAACAAATATTTTCAAGTTTCTTTTAATGAGGGAAAACTTTTAGAAAAATATTTTAAACAATTTTCAAAAAATCTGGTATTTTACAATTGTTTTACAACAAAGCATCAAAGAAGTTTAAATAACTAGATCAACTAAGGGAATCAAATAACTTCTTATAAGAACTCGTACTCTCCTTTTCAAACACAAAAGGTTGTTGAGAGGAAAGACGATTACTGATCACTCTTTTCATGCTTTGTTCGGTTTAGAAAAATGCATATACAAAATATAGGACAATGAAAAGTGCTTGCATATATTATATACCGTCTACTGAAAACCGGTTCCGGGAGTTAACTAACTCGAGAAACAGAAAAACGAAACTCGATTTGACCTTTAATTGCTTTTAGATGACGAAATTCCGTTACCGGAAAATAAATAAAAACCACCCACACCATCTGTTTCAATTACAACCCGTTTGGCAAACCCGTTTGTGGGTGGTTTTTATTTATTTTCAATAAAAATTATTGAAAATAAATAAAAACCACCCACACCATCTGTTTCAATTACAACCCGTTTGGCAATACTTTAAACAGCAAAATTGTCATAAATTTCAACTATTTTTCTTTCTAAATTTTATTAGGTTCTATGCACTCATTAAAAGAAAACAAAAGATTTCTTTCATAAATTTTTGGACTACTTCCATACTTAAAGCAAACATTACTTCGCTTAAAAACTCATAGACCTCAAATCTTTAATCGGATCGAGTTTTTTCGATATGGGAATTAAAAAATTCTGTAAATAGAAGCACTTAAAATAATCTTTTATTTTTCTTTTTGTTTATTATTTCTCTATTTCGAGCCATACTTGCAAGAAACAAAAAAGTTATTAACAACTCATTGTTATATAAAAGTTCATTATTATTTATGGGAACTCCTACATAACCTCTAATAAATAAATGCTTGTATAGCTACGAAGAATATAACACACAATCGAAAACAAATAACATTCAAAATTATAACTGTTTGAATTTGCGTAAAACTATTTTACCATAAGTTTACCACTACCACTTTAAATACAAATATAATTACATACCTACATTTGTAGGTAAGCCGTCTTTTATAAAAAAAACACAAGTAAATATTTCGCTAGTTTTTTGTGTTACTGTTCCAGATATTGGCAGTATATAATAAGAAAATAAGAAAATAAGATAAAATCTGATATACTTAAGTATTTATGCGAAAGAAATTGAAAATAATTAAAAAATATTTATAATAGAAATTAAAAAATTATTACCTTTATACTTAGGAGAAATTGGAAAATCATGATTTATTATATTGGTTGTAAAAATTGAACAAGAGTGCGGCCACTATTAAAAGTGAAAAGAAATTGGTTCCTTAATTCAAAGTGTAACGAATTTTGAAAGAGAAAGAGACCAAATAAAAAATCTAATAAAATATGGAGTGAAGTTTCAAATTTATTATTTCTAGAACTTTATTCTAATAATCTAATTTGATTGATTATATGGCCGTTTTCCGGTATATCAATTGCATGCTACGTTAGTTATGAATTCTAACGCGATGTGACGTACGCGTAAATTCCAATATACGTCGCTAACGCAACTGATTATTATTTTAGTTTTTTTGCCATATTGTTTAAAGGTTGATTGATGCATAACTAATAAATTATGTAAGTAATGATTGGCGAGAATTGCGTAATTACACCTGATTGTTATTTGCAAAATCAAGCGAATGACGTAATTGACATAAATCTAAAATCTTCAACATAATGGGAAACGACCTATTTTGATTAAATGTTTTTGAGCGCTTAGGTACAAATAGATTCTCTTCTTGAAGCTTTTAACACTGCTTTTTTTAGTTTTCCAATTATAAAACTGAAATTTATTGAAAAGAACTTGACAGTTCAGCAATTCTAAATTATATTTTTATTACGTGTGTTCATAACGATTTGTTACCTTCATTTTGAACATTCTGAAATAATGCTTTTAACTTTGCGCGTCGCATATGAGTTCACGTGTAAGAAATTTAATTAATTTACTATTCTATTTAGAAATGTTAAGGAATGATATAAAAATTGTATTAGTCATAAATACTCATCAAATAAATATGCTATTAATCTTTTTAAACTTTCTACTAAAATACCAAATTTGAAAAAAATAAATTTGCATTTACATCTAGGTTAAAAGTTATTCTCTTCTATACCTACTTATAAATTTTAATTGTATTTTGGTACAGCGAACATTTAAAAACCCATTATTCTTTCTATTCTTTTTAATCATTTTGTTTTGTCATTCTTTTATTTTCAAGTCAACGCTAATATGCCCTATTTTCCCCCTATATATATTTGCAAACTAAATAATTATACAGCTTAGTATTATTTTCAACTTTTGGTTATACTTTAGAGACTAAAATCTATAAAATAAATAAAAAAAATGAAATAGAAAAAAATAGTAAAGTCTGTCACTTCACGGGCGTCAAAAGTAAAAGCTTTAAAGCGTAAAACTATAAAACTCTTTTTAGTACTAAACTATGCTAATAAAAAAAACGTAAACGAATAAAAATT